GGGGGCAAATATCAGCTGGTTTCAAATCAGATCAAGGCTACCTTCACGTGGATATTCACGGCACGCCAACTCTCGCCATTTACGGCGAGTTGGAAAAAGACTTTCTACAGAAGGCTTCTGTGTGCGTCTTTTGAGGGATAGCTGACACAGGCCCAGAGAACTGACCGCAGCTACAGTTTGGTCGCCTTTCGCACCGTATTTTTGGCATTAACGTGGTACAGCCTGGCAAAACCCGCTGTCAATAGTGCTTGATAAATTCCCACATACCGACCCGCCATCAATAGTGCTATATAAATCTGCACATACCGACCCGCCATCAATAGTGCTATATAAATCTGCACATACCGACCCGCCATCAATAGTGCTATATAAATCTGCACATACCGACCCGCCATCAATAGTGCTATATAAATCTGCACATACCGACCCGCCATCAATAGTGCTATATAAATCTGCACATACCGACCCGCCATCAATAGTGCTATATAAATCTGCACATACCGACCCGACGTCAATAGTACTAGAAAAATCTCTACATACCGACCCACTGTCAATGGTGCTAGATAAATCCCCACACACCGACCCGCCGTCAATAGTGCCAGATAAATATCCACCTACCGACCCGCCGTCAATAGTGTCAGATAAACCCCCACCTACCGACCGCCGTCAATAGTGGCAGATAGACCCTCACGTAACGGCTTTGTAGGTACTTCGTTCCCAGGTCTAATAGACAATGTATCTATTTCCCGTTGCCCAAACTTCGCAGCCGCAATGGTGGTGACAGCGACAGTGGATGGGTGGATGGATGGATGGATGAAAGATGGAGTCTCACAACGGTCTTCTTGTATGTTTTCTTAGCGCATCGTATGTTTTCTTAGCGTGTCGTCGAGTGGTAGGCATCTTAATGGAGGGGAAGTCTTATCCATATCACACAGTGGAGAAATATAAGTAAATAGGGCAGTGAGTGATGAATGACGGCTTCCATTTTTCATACGTTCAATATTGCTCCTCAGATACATGCCCAATTACTTCATGGTCATAATTTATTTTTAAGTTGATAGGGAGTTTGCTTTGAAACGGACACGCCGCTTCTGACAGCGATATATGCTGCGGAGACAGCGTACATTTTCAGTTGTTTAGTTCTTGGCCACGCAGTAATGCTTAGTACTGCTGTGCACAAACATATCGGTGCGGTGTAGATGTTAAATGGACGATATTGACTTACATTAACTTATCAAGACATCAGACTTAAGTTACAAAGCTCTACCAACTGGCAACACAAGAAGCACAAACCTTGCTGGATTGAATAAGCTTTTTAACAAGAAGCAATAAGCAATCTGACACCACCGCCGTCCATCACCACGGTTGAAGATTTGCAAGTTGGTGAACTAGAATGAGATAGAGCCAGATGAGTCATATCTATAGTGGATCGAAACGCACGATGAGCGGAAATAGGTTCTCCCGATCACTGAGGAAGCTTTTTCTCTCATGGGATCAAGTGTTAATCGCATCGTCGATGTGGCTTAAGTACAGATAGAGTTGTTGTCGGAACCCAACAAGGATGGCTTCTCTTCCGCTCCTACAAATATTACCGCCAATGAACGAACACCCATAAACCAATAGCCATCCCGTGCGTTGTTCAACGAAGCTTGTGCCGGATCTGCTGTGCTTGTTGCTTTGGCAGTGACCTAGTCGTGACTTGATGACATCTGGTCCAGTTTGATGTCATCTGGTCCAATTTGATGTCATCTGGTCCAATGTGATGTCATCAAGGCCGAAAATATCAATATTTGCCCTGTGCTCCGCTATTGGAGCGATTGCTGCACCTGTACCGCATATTAGGATAATAAATAACTGTAAAAGATAATGCAACACATTCATCGTTCGGGTAGGAGTTCAGATGGAATGTGATTGAGTACCGTTGAAGGGCGGAGCCACCGCCACCTCCGTGCGTGTGCTGCCCTCCCCCCCCCCCCCCTCATGGGAGAGGGTCGGTGCTAATCTCCGTGCATTGCTGCTTCACGTGGCGTGTCCTGCGCATGGTTTGTACATTGCGGAGTACATACATGATGTGTGAATAACGGGAAGGAAATAAAGAACACAGTACCGAAAGACAACGCAATAGGTAGGTGTACGTCACTGGCCATTGTTGTATAACTGAGGTGTGGTGCTAGGGTTACGAGGTTGCGCCGGATTAGGTGTAGACTGCGCCCGATCATGTGCAGTTCGCGGTGCTGGATGAGATGGTAGACTGGAGCGCGGCGTACGTATTGCATGCTGGCTCGCAGGACAGGACCCGGGGCAGGGCGGTGTCCAACGGAATCGACGTAGTAAGTGTTTTGTGTAAGATGTACAACTAAGGTAGGTTTCTGGAGGAGGCAACGAGCTTTATACACAGGCAGAGTGAAAAATTCACTATTTCTCCGGTGATGAGCATAGCGCACTTGTGCAGTTTTTAAATCGATGAAGGGTATGGCCGAATACATTTTGCATTTTTCGTCCCTGCCTAAGATTTGAGCAAAGACAGTGCTATGTATGAACTAAATAATGCGGCTCGTATCTGGCACCCGCCGCATTACACCAATGACTTGATAATTGGCGGCCAAAAGCTGCGCCGGTGGACCGCCACTTGCCCACTTTTCATGAAAGACAGAGTTTCTTTGACGGAAGCAGGAAAGCCCTTAAGCACCTGTGTTTGGTATCATTAGTCCTAATGATGAAAAGAACCACCATATAGCGGGATAACTCCCGCTATATGGTGGTTCTTAGGGTTAAGCAACGACGGTCAGAAATCGTCACGATGCATTATGCGAAAAAAACAGCGTTTGAAGGCAGCGCTCAGGGGCGTGAGGCTGGCTCGAATGGATACAAGAATTGCACGAATGCTGAACATGTACACGCTTCTACGGCGCAGGAGAAGTATTTGCAAAGGAAATTTAGCAGAGATGAAATGAATATAGACATGCTGTAACAGTCAAACATCTTGACACCTTGATAACAAACACCTTGAAACCTTAAGCATTCTCATAATCATGCTCATGATTGCTGGGCGCCGCCGTTCAACTAACACCTCCCGGTTATCGAAGTTCGGATAATTCCACCATAAGATAGTCTTTCCAACGTGTTGATCTGGCTAAATTAGCTTAGTTTTGGCGCAGCTTACCTGGTGGCTGCGTGGCTCGCCTCCCGCCGCATGAGGCAGTCTATTGGCCATCTCATTACGGCTATCAAGTCATTGTAATCCCGGCTTTCGGTGAGATGCCAAGCTTACAACGCCAGTCCTGCCCTCATTGCTTTGATCGGTATTCTTTTAAAGCTAAAACGTCGTTTCACAATCCACAATTTCCTCACAGATGTTGATGATACGTTTGTGATTTTGGATCATTCCGGAATTGGAACACGGCCTCCCCTAGGTCTCTGCATACATGACGTTAATCAGAGAATGCGGTATTTTTCTTCCCTTCAAGCCGGCACAGCACACCACGGCGATGATCGAAATACACGAGGAAATCAGCATCCTAAGGCGTCATCTAACATCACCAGGCGTCCCTGAACATCGCTCAATAACGAGCACGGCAGCAGCGCTTCATGGAAAATTAAATCGTGCTACAGATTACATGCGTTCGAGCGCACTCCAGCCAAAGTGTATGAATAATCAGGCTTGGAGCCGTTAATCAGTAAAGGTATGACTCTTTAGCACGCCTTCTAATATAACGCAAGCTAAAGGTGCACTCTACCCAGGTGATGCGTGACGAAACCCACGCCTGTGCAGGGAATCATTAGAAGCTCCCTCGAGAGGAATGCTCCGTTTTAGCGAAGAGCGGTTGTCGCTTAAACACCCCAGACGACGACTGGTGAGACAAAGACGCGCGGTGTGGAGGCCGCTGCCGGGCAATGCGGCCCCAGACAGTGGCTGACGAGACAAAGACGCGCGGTGTGGAAGGCCGCTGCCGGGCAATGCGGCCCCAGACAGCGGCTGACGAGACAAAGACGCGCGGTGTGGAGGCCGCTGCCGGGCAACGCGGCCCCAGACAGCGGCTGACGAGACAAAGACGCGCGGCATGGAGGCCGCTGCCGGGCAACGCGGCCCCTGACAGCGGCTGACGAGACAAAGACGCGCGGCGTGGAGGCTGCTGCCGGGTAACACGGCCCCAGACAGCAGCTGGCGACGGAAGGACGCCCAGCACTGAAGCCGCTGCCGGGTAACATGATCGCTGAGCAGAGAGGCCCCAGAATGCATTTGCGGCTTCGCGATCAACATCAAAGACGTGTGTCATCTGGTTCCAGAGGGAAGCTGATATAAGAGCGTGAGCTGCTAATGCAAACGCAGCGATCCCCGATGTGCAACTTCTCACAATTTTGTTATCTGCAGGCAACAATGTACGTTAAACTTTACCACATTCAAACAAAGTTTGGTTTGTAAGAGTGGCGACATCTAGATGTGATCGTGGATGAGTGCCGCTACAGGTGGTTGAAACTAGTCAAGATTTGAAGAAGAGAAATCATGTTAGAGAGAAATAATAAGAGAAACAAGAGATATAAATATCATGGCAGGGATAGCGCAGCAACAGCACCATGCAGCTTCAGGATATACATTTAAGCACTAAGGCAAAATACACATTCCAAGGCAAGGGGCAAATCACCCAGGCAACATTTGACACTCTTGATTTTTTGGAACATCTGACATTTTTTACCAGCTCTTGATGAACATCATGGCACTAACACTGTTCTGTATCACACGTGCCTATATCACCACTGCCCTGTATCATTTGTGCCTATACACCACGTGCAATCTTAGCCCAGATATACATCATCAAACCGCAAGTCCAACTGTTGCAAATCAATTGTTGCAAACCTATAAAGCAAATGTCACAGCCACTATCGGCTCTGCATTTACGCCAACAGCAAGCACACGCGTGGCCGCCCATGGGCTTCGAATGCTCTGAGGCCCAGAGAGGGCGGACTGGCCGACTCTAGCCGGCGCTGAGTCGGGGGCTGACCTCTGAAGACGGGTGCGGGTGGTGGCGGCGGCGCCGGGTACCAGTAGGGCCACGGCGGAGGCTGGTAGGGGTGCGGCGCACCCAGCAGGCAGCGCGGGTGCCGGCGGACGTCCATGGCTGCGGCGGCGCGCGCGCCCGCTCAAGACGCCATCACCCACTACGAAACACGACGACGGCGTTGGCGGCGGCGACGGCGGCGGCGGCGATAACGACGCCACGGAGGCGGCGCGCGCGGTCCTCAGTACGCTCGATACACAGCGCCGACTTGATGACGCAACGCCCGGTCGCCGACGCTGTCGGGACCCGGCACCGACAAGGCACTGTCCTGCGCGACCCGGCACTGACCTCGGATTACTTCGCGCGACCCGGCACTGACCTCGGACTATCGTGCGACCCGGCACTGACCTGCGCGATCCGGCGCCGACCATAAACCGTCCCGAATAACCTCCTGGCGATCATCCCGGATGGTCTTATGTGACTGGCACTGGCGCCCCGGACTGGCCTGTGTGACCCCGTAGCGAAGCTGGGCTGTCCCAAATGACCCGGAAATGACTTCTGACCGTCCGGATCGACCCGGCACTGACCCCGAACTGCCCGACATGACCCGACGTCGATCCTGCACTTTATGGTGTGATCTGGAACTGATTTCATGGTACGGATGTCAGTGGCCTGATCGGATTTTAGAGTCCTAATAACTGAGATACGTTTCGGCACCTCGATCCATACTTTTCCAGCTGTGGGATCGCTGTGTGGAAAAGGGCTTTCTTCGTGATTTGTACCCAAAACAGTCGCTTGTCAGGAGGAATCTCGGGAAAACTATGAGCTTACATTGTGAGCACCGTATGGTGGTCAACACTGACGACCAATTTTCATTGAAATATTTGCAATAATGGCACTGGAGCCCAACCGGTCCTCTTGCCGTTCAGCTCCAGCGAGCACCACCCTGTGACTTGTGACTTGTGTGACTTGTGACAAACAACGCAGCCCCCTTGCCATCTCAAGACCCCTGGGGCAAACAACAGCAGATGAAAGCTGTTTCAAAGGAACCTGGATATCGCGCACATTGCGGGCAGGAAGCCTTAGTCCGGCACTCCAGCCGCAATGTCGTTTCACGCGCGTTCAAGAAAAAGGAAAACTCTTCACAGCAGCTGGTGGAGTGGCCATTGTGCAATGGTTTAGAATATAGATTGGCAAAAACAACCCGCAGTTTTTGCAGTCATGCTATACTCACAGCATTATTCAAAACCCTTAGTTTAATATGGTGATTATCGAGCTTGACTAGGCCAATGCATGATGTTGCATACTTCCGCTGCTGCTGCACTGATGTTGGTTGCAGCTGATATGGCGTGGTAGGCGTAACAAACTTAAAATGTGATGACAAGTGGCGAGCTGACCATGAGCACAACGGCAAGGATACGCCCATCGAAAAACGAGTGCCACCACTGTAAATAGCCCAAGCGATATATGATATCCATGGGGTGATATCCATATATCCATGAGATATATATGATATCCATCCATATATGATATCCATCTCATGAGTAACTAGGGTACGCCAGTGGTGACAAAACATCATGCAAATAAGCATATCAACAAACCACCTCTAAATCTGAAATCACAGAATGCGCTACACGTTTGGAAGTGATGAAGCATGTAGAATATATTTTATGCATACGGCCATATGAAAATGTTTGTACCTTTACGTATTACCATCTGCCCACTGTCGGTTCACCCTAAGAGAAGCACCAGTATAGTCATCAACTGATGGAAATTCATAGCATACAACACATTATTTTCATCTCGGAATATATGTGGCCTCGTTTTTACTCCACCGAGATCTCGGCATTGAAGATTGAACCATGCCAGGACTTCGCGCTTCTCCGCATCGCCCACCCTGATCCGGCACGTGCCCTGACTGTTGGCTGTGACCCGATGCTGGCTCTCAGTTTCTGGGCATGACCCATCACTGACCCAGGGCTGCTGGATACAGCTCGCGAATTACAAAGACGAAAAAGAAGGCCAGCCTAACGTTACGGACACAAAGATGGCACAATGTATAACATGTACAAGTGGCATACATTGAACACTGAAGTCATTCCTATAGGAATGATTTCCATTTTATCCCATCGAATGATTCATGCGAACTAGCTATTGTGAAACCACACAATTACTGAGAAAATATTTGGCGACTTGACGGCTGACTTCACGACGCAAAAGTTATTACACGGTCCATGGGAATCCAAGAGGAGTCAGGTACGTCAGGTAGCACACAAGTTCCTGCGAGAGTCGTGCTTGAAGGCACACAGGTACATACTGGTACTGGCGTGCAGAGACCAGGTATATTGGAGAAAATGTCCATAACAATAAACGAAAATATGCCTGAAATACTGGTGCATTATGGGAGCATAGCGAGATATATGTGCAGCTCATCCCTCCCAATGTGACGCATGGAAAACTTGGGTAGAAATTGAAAGCACGCGCGGGTGGGGGTTAATTTGACCCCAAAGGTAATTTCAGAGTATCTTCCAAACGGTGCGGCGTGGCGTAGCGGCGTGGCCGCGCCAAACTTTGCCTACATTTAGGCGATTCGATGCTCGATCTGTTCGTGCAACGCTTGGATATACCAAGCAAGGTCGCTGACCTATAGCAGGTTTAAGTAGGCCCATGTCTGTCAGGGAAAGTACTTCCGAGGGAACGAAGTCTAGGATGATCATGGTCAAAACTAAACCTCTTTTTCACCCGAAAACGTATGTTGTGAGGCAGTTTTTGACGCGCGCTATGGTTTCCTGTATCGTAAGGATGTCAAAACATTTTTTTTTTTGTAATGGCTTCATGAAGGTCGGGAGAGAACTCTGACCTAAAATGACCTCCATCAGCACTTTGATTTGACGAGCATGCCACCTGGGGCAGTAACTTGATGCCGATTTTAAATTCAAATATAATCATTACCGCCAGTTTTGGCAACATTTGCGTTTTCAAGGTCGCGTAAGATCACTGACCTGATGCGACCAGCAGTGGTATTTTCCTTATACGAGGTATTTTGGTTAAAGCTGGTTGTGTAAGAAGCTCTGAGAGCCTTTCGTGCCCGAATGTGGTGCTTTAATTTGTTGAATTTATTTGGCCCAATGGTCATAGCCTAGGGATTTCACAAGTTGACAAAAATAAATTCACATAGAGCTCTATCTACCTTGTGGATTTAATGTACCTAGCTCTGTTAATTTTGGTGATCTCAGGGGTTCATACTGACCCCTCCCACCCTAACGCTTACCTAACTAACCACCTGACCTAGCCGCACGCTATATATAACCACCTGACCTAACGGCTGACGTTAGGCCAGGTGGTTACGTATAGCGCATGGTTACGCGTTAACGCATTGCATTCAACCGACCCCAGGGCGCGTGTTCACCTACCTCCTGACTCGCATCATTAGCTCTTACCCGTCTTCGAAGTATTAAGGCCGCAGGGACACTAGTGCACTTCAGTCAGGTAATACACGAATAGGAATGCAATTCGTGCGAGGCTTTCAAGCTGCCGGAGGCGCACGGATGCAGCGCAGCGTGATGTGTCCGCATTTCTCGCTATTTGAGAGCCACATACGACCCGCACAATAACTCACGCCGTACCTGACTTACGAACGTTTGAGTACATCTAGCGTTATACACGTACAATAATTGCATTTCACTTTAGCTAATATGTGATTTTGAGAAATACTGGTAGTCCCTCGCGAGAAAAAGCTCGCTGACCTCCAACGCTTCACAATTATGTGCTCAATAGAACTGTACATGTACTGCCGCACCGCTGCTCGGCTCAAACGGATGTCGTGGGCCTTCACAAAATATTAATGGGATACCAGGAACGCATCGAACGTGCAGTGGATGAGGCCCAAACGTGCAGCGAGCAACGGGCAAAACGTACCCCAGGCGCCGACTGTGAGCTGGAGGAGAAGGGCAAAGTGGTCCGTCTGGAGCCGACCGACACAGCCAACAGGTGGGGAACACACCTCAGGCCGACGTGGTCTGGAGCTGACCGAAACAGCCAGCACGGAGAAGCACACACCTCGGGCCGACGTGTTCTGGAGCTGACCGAAACGGCCCACACGGGAGGAACACACCCTCGGCCGACAGGCAGCTACGGGAATGTCTCCCATAACTTCAAAGAGTTTGGTGTCCTCCCTCCCCCCCCCCCACACACACACCAAGTACTTTTAACATGGGAACATGGGAGGGCATTGCGCAGGTTAACTGACCTGCCACATGTCACGAAGCTCTCTGAATTATAGGCGTGTTGCATCCCGCCCGTTTTGAGAACGCGGAGGCCTCAGGACTGATCAGTTTGAATACCTAAAACATGCGGTACATACCTAAACCACGACATCCGCCGGCTTTCAGAGCAAGTGACATTTCAACCGTCGAGGCGGGTAGCTGACCTGGGATCGGGGTGACATCTACGAACCGTAGAGCGGAACCACTTTGAACGTGCATGGCGAATGCCTGCGCTGGAAAGGTAATGCGCTGACATGTCCGGGGATTAACGACGAACTATTTGGGTCACTGCAACTCAATCGTGAGTTTCGGCCGCGGAAACTAATTGCCATATACTGCGCGGGTAGCCCGGCTGGTGTGGCAAACCTGTCCGTCAACGGGACAAGTGTGCATATCACACGTTGATCATCGCAAAACCGTTTCGCTGGCACTTAAGTGACCACACCAACCAGGCATGTCGGCAGTTGTGGCCTGCGTCATGGAACGTTTAAGTCCACAACTCATTCCTTGGACAATGGAGACAGCACAAGAGATCCCCCGCAGCCGTTTACGTGCATAGTTGAACGCTTCATGAGCCTCTTAGAACGTGCAGCATTATCACAAACTGAACACAACGAACACACAAACTGAGGACCTGTTGCCTGCCTCAGCCAGTCTCGCCGGCGGATGACTGTGAGCTCCGATGCGTGTATCTTAAATGGTCAGAGCGGATTTTGATGGCGATGGAAACGACCAGTATTCCAGGGAGGTGTGTGAAAAGACAAATCTGTAAAATAGATAACCCATACCACTGCAATCCCATCCGTTTGACTCTAAATAGAAATCCTCATGTTTTGCGTGGTGTTTCGCAAGTGTCGATTTCGGCGAGACGAAATCAAGTGCAGATCCAG